GCCACAGCACACACCCTGACAATTAAACTTACGGTATAATAATGAATTATAACAGTCCCGCCTCATAAACAAGATGCAATTAAATAATGTTTTTCATCACTACTTGGACTGTATTCTAGTATCAGTATTATGAACAGTAAAAATGGCAAAGCCAACTGGAGTTGGTTTGGTTTGTATTTGTTTATAGAGAAACCAGATAGCAGCAAAGTCCATTTGGCTATAGTTTTATTTCACTTCAGCATGTATTATTTAAATACATTAACTTTATTTTCCCAAAGACTCATTGCTGCAGCTTCTCTGTTTTTAAATCCCACATGTGACGTATTTTTCCTCGGTTGGAGGCTAGCCTGCAGACGGTGTGGACGCAGAGCACATTAATTAGCCTTATTTTCTTCTGCTAGGACAGTGGTGTTTTAAAGGCATGGTGGGTTAATTCAATTACATGCTCATGTCTGTTTTTTCCACAGAGCTGTCTCAAGCCACAAATACACAGAACAAGGTTCACGTCACTCTTCTCTGAAGTGTTGCCTCAGCCCGTTGTTTGTGAGCAGGAATAAATCCTTAAATTCTTCAGACTATGATGACAATAAAAATCATATTTTATATATTGTTTACTCTACTCTTTTCTAACAATGCAATTCTTTTATATACTACAGACATAAATGTGTTTGAACCTCAGAAAATGAAGTCACTGAAGAAGTGCCAAAACCTGCAGTTCCTCTAACGTCCAGCAGAGGCTCCAACAGGGAGTCAATCCCCACATGTTCACAGCCTGACACAAAAACTGTTTTGGAGCATTTTAATAACATTATGTGACCAATAAAATGGCTACGGAGAGATTATACTAACAGAGCTCCAGTTTGAGCAAGCGAAATTGTAAACTGATTTTGTTTAGGATGTTAGCACTAATTGGCACAAATCTGTCTGTTGCAACCTGATAGTCTGTGCTTGTTCAAATATGGTCCTTCTTCCAATAAATGACAACCAAAAGTCAAAGTGTTATATCCAGTCTATCCGGTGATGATTCTTAAGAAGATAAGAAGAACAAAGTCTCATATATGCTGTTGTGTTTGAAGAAGTTCTACTCGTAGCTAATTTATTTGAAAAACTTAATTTAACATCCAGAACATTTCATCGTCGAGCCAAATTTTTGCCTTCTCTGTAGCAGCTGTGGTGTGATCGCCTTCCCGCCCCTGACAGTGTCATTTAATATGAAGCTAATCTAGCACTGCATTTATATTACAGATTCCATTTTCTGAAAATGTGCTGAGTTCATTCTCAGCAGCTTGGAAACTCATTTCATTTACACTCAGTTGTACTTAGTCCTGTTTTACAGCCTAAACTTCATTAAAGTAAATGGGAAGTGTTGAGTATTCAAGGGTGATGTGCAGAGTCGTCACTACAGGGGGATAAAACTGATGAGCCATACCACGAAGATATGAGAAAGAGTTGTCAAAGCTAGGCTAAGATGAGAGGAGATGATCAGTGAGTGGCAGTGTGGCTTCCTGCTGAGAAAGAGCTCCACAGATGTGATGTTTGCTTTGACAGCGCTGATGGAGAAGTTTAGAGAAGGTCAGAGGAGATTCACTGATGATAGGGTGCCAAAAGAGGAAGTGTGGTGAGGGTAGGAGTGACAGATGGGTTGAAGGTGGGGGGTGGGATTACATCAGGGTTCTGCTCTGAGCCCCTTTTTGTTTGCAGTGTTGATGGACAGGCTGACAGATGAGATCAGGGAGGGGTCTCTGTGGACGCTGATGTTTGCCGACGACACTGTGGTCTGTAGTGAGAATAAAGAGGAGGTGGAGGAGAGGCTGGAGAGGTGGAGGCATGAGCTGGAAAGAAGAGGAATGACAGTCAGAAGAAGCAAGACAGAACGCATGTGTGGGAATGAGAAGGAGACAGGTGGACATGCAAGGAGCAGAGCTTTGGAGGAGAGAGAATGGATATATTAGACAAAGGATGTTGAAGATGGAGCTGCCAGTCAGGAGGAAAAGAGGAAAACCATACAGGAGGTTCATGGATATACTAAAGGAGGACATGCAGTCGGTGTCCTCAGTCATGACAGAGGAGGATGCTGGGAAACAGAAGCAGGTGATCCACCGTGGCAACGAAAGTTTAGTCTCCAAAAAAGATTCAAATTGTCCATTCGTTGTATTTTGTGTAGTGAGTAATCTCATGTAGACCAATAGTGTTTACACTGACAGGAGATGTGCTGTTTAACAGAAATGTGGTTATGTAATCGCAGCCCGGTCTTGTAAAAAAATGTGTGATGGCATACTGTTTCACAGTTAAGAGTTTTTATGGAATATCAGTGGGGTGGGACTCTTGGTGCTGGAAACTGGAACTGTGTAAAATGCTGTACGTGTCTCTGCAGTATATAGAATGCAAAATAAGCTACCTGTAATAGCTTGTCAATGTCTTTTAAAGTCAGGAATGAGGCAAGGGATCAGTTCTTGCTTGACCTGATTCATTTGCCTTCTCTTCGTGGGGCTTTAGTCTGCCTGGAAGCCTTGTAGTACTGCAGACAACTCAAGCTGGCATCTCCTTTGATGCACAATTTAAAACACACAGCCTGACATGATATGGGCCTTGATGGAAAGTCAGTTAATCATCAAATTGATGTTTGACTTTTTTTTCTCATGCTCACAGACATCTGTATGACATTTCATAGAAATAAAATATATGTATGTGATGCAAAGAGAGAAAGACGAAGAAAAGAGTAAATTGTCAACGCAGTCTAAAGTTTCATGATCACATTTGTACACTGATGTTGTGCAACATGACAGAGTCTTCTTATCCAACCAATAATCACCTGCCAAAAATTTTTTTTAATCATTGATTTCTCCAGGGGAAGTGGGTGTGTAATGCTGTGTAAGCAGCCTTAGCGGCGCCAGCAGGATGTAGTGGCAGTAAATATGGGCAAATGTCACTAATGGCAGCATCCACGATTGGAGTTCCACATCATAACACCAGCACCACTGACTTTGCAGACTCAACTAAATCTTAATAGCTGATGACTGAATCCTCTGTTTTCAGAAGCCTAGGGATGGTTTTGTTTGCTTGTGTCGAACCCACTTATTTGTTCATTAACACAAAAATGAGTGAAATGCAACCTTGCAAAAGTGGGAACCAGGAATCTTGACCATGCAAAGACAAACATCCGGTGACATTAACCCCGACAAGCAGCCTTTAAATGATTTTAAATTAGAGCATTAGTCAAAAACACACCTCTAACACATTAACCAGCTAGAACATCCAAAGATGGGATCTGCTTTGGAAAAAGAAAAAGGTCTAAATAAATGCGCACATGGTGCACACAGGAGTAACCTCCCTCTGAACCCACACGATGGATGTTTTGGAGAGGTGATGTGATTGCCATAACTAAGATTAGTATCCTCAGACGGCATAAAAGCCTGCAGTCGTGGGGAAATGACTGCCTCTGGGAAAGAGCCTTCATTCTTTTGAAATATTTAAGGTTGCAGAAGGATTTTTTTTAAGTAAAAATATAGACATTTCATTATTTAACCCCAACACAACATCTCTGCATAACTAAGTACAAACCATCTTTCAGTGTTCATGATGTTATTGTAGAGATTCAAACATATTCTTCATACGATTTTATATACATGAGAAAATGTATGTTTTTGGTTGTGTAATTAAAGGAAATGATATGAAAACTGATAACAGTGATTCACTTTAAATTTAGAAGGTTAATAAAGTGAAAATGTTTCTGAGTGATCTCAGAAAGTTGATTTCCTTACCTGGATTATTGAACATGGAACAAGACAAACAAAAAACAAAAACTTTTTTGGGTCATTCACTGCTGCAGTATTTAATCTCTGCATTTCTTATGCTTACTAGTCCCTGACAGTACACCTAATGTTGTCACTTTCTGTAAGAAGTGTTTGAAGTGTAGAATAAAGACGCCAGTACACCATCTGCGCTCATGATGCCCACATGCAAAGATGGGGTTTGATCTCAAAATGCATATTAATAAATAAACCTAAACTAACGCCTGGTGGTGCTTAATTGTGAGGACTGCGAGTTTGTTTCATTCGGCTGATTCAGCCGTGATGTTAGCGTGACACGCAGGAGGCAGCACCTGTCCTATCTGTTTGCACAGGATCTGTGTACATGCGGGTGTGTTTGCTCAGCGATAAAGGAGCTCGGTAATGACACGTTAACAATGAGTGCATTAGCGTTAGGCATCACGAGGCTTCGGATTGACGGCCTCCGGCTACGCAGGCTGCTCTGAGAGCTGCGCTGGCCCCGGATGCATCAGCGGCACCATTGTTTTGATTCATAAAGAAATAAAAGCCAGTATGTGGCCTTTGCATCTGTTCTCGGTCACATTGTGGGCATTTATTAAGTTATAAACTACCTACAGCTGCATGACAATAAAATCTGAACATCCTGTTATTTCACTGTTTCAACTCCCATGAGGGCTTGATGACTCAGGACCAGCTGTTTGACAACTCTAGGCTATTTTAAACTTCCAAACTTTCCCTTGAAGCCTGCATTGTTCAAAATTAAAGTGACACATGCAAGTCCCCCTGTCTGGTGCTTTCTTTCACGTCTACGTGTACAGCAGGCTAACTTTGAATTTACAAACAGCTGCTGCAGCTGGCTTCCTGTCGTGCGCCCACCTTGTCCACATGTATATTTCTATGAATGCTATTTTTTAAATGGCAGTGTCAGGCCTCTGTGTGAAAGATGTAGCATTCGGTTATCAAAGTGTCCTCTGATCACATCTGGCAAAATAAAATAGATGGCATACTGTAAACTGGAATATTCACGCCCGCAATCAAAATAAATGAATTCACCGACACCCCATTAAAACCTCTGAGGGTAAAATCCTATTTTGTGTTCTGGCCTCTTTTAAATTGTGCACCTTTGTCAGCTTAAACACTGTTCTCTTTGAATGGACTTTATGTGTATCCTAACAGGCTCACTTGTTGGTGGTGGCGTGCGCACTTTGGAGAATTTAAACAAAGCACAAAGCAGCGTCTCTACTTTTACACGGATTCGCGCTCCTGTTGAGAATCTGTCGCCATATGCTCTCTCTCTCTCTCGTCTTGGAGGAACAGAGTGGAGGCTGTGAGGTAATAGTGCGCAAGAGGGGGTGGTGGAGAGAAAGAGAGCGCGCGCGTGTGTGTGAGAGACTGGATATAGGACAGGCATCAAACGAAAGCTCTCCTGCAGACTGGTCGGGATCCCTTCGGCCCCTCGGTCCTTCAGACGCATCAGGTTAGTGAAAGCAAACGCAGCGCATGTTAGACGATGAGAGAGCCCGCGCTGCCGGGACGCCGCGGGGACCCCCGGTGCTCCGTGCTTGTTTGTGCATTAGTGCTGCAGCTCGGGTGGATGGAGGGGGAGCTGGCACTCTCGGTGAGGCAGACGGTTTTAGGCGTGAGGCTGTTTTGGTCTCGGTGTGTTTGTGCACGCGGGCGGGCTGCAGGTACGCGCTTCACCTGCTGGCGCGATGTCTGTGCACAATCCGCGCGGCTGTGGGCTGAAAGAGCCACTTCTGGCACCGGGGCGCGGAACACAAAGGCATGCTGCGGATATCTCCCCCTCCCTCCTGCTCCTCCTCTCCCCTCTCGCTCTGTGCCTTCCGTTTTTTTCCAGGTAAAGGCGGATCTCCTCAATCCTCCGCCGCCATCACTCGCATTCAAAGGTGTGCGTTTTGTGACAGAGACGGGAGAGGAGGACGAGGCTGTAGGGGAGTCAGCCGAGGGAGGAGGAGGGCCTGGCCGGCTCCGGTTCTCCGCAGTGTTGGTGTTGGTGTCGGCGGGGCCGGCCGGCGGAGAGCCGGAATTATTTATAGCAGCCAGCCCGCTGATTGGCTTTATGAGCAGAGGGTGCCGTCACAGAGGAAGTCTCCGTTTGTGTTTGGCATCGTGAAAATCAAGTGTGTGTGCCTCCGTGCATGCGCACACATGCGCACGCGCTTTTGATTAGCGTTTGATAGGCGGTGTGTGTGGAAATGAGTGAGGCACCCAGCCAATCACCTGTAGAAACGTAAGAGCAGCGGATCATTTACTCAAGTTTCCACCGCATGCTTCTCACAGACACAGTTACTGCAACTCTCACAGCTCTGAGCACGACGTTTATTTCAGATAAAGATTTCACTGACAGTGTCAGAGCCTTCATTGGTGCCTGATCCTGGATGGGTTAGTTTATGATGTGTGCCACAGACAAACAGCTCAGCAGTAAAATGTCTCTCAGACGTTCCTGCATTAACTAAATGTTTGTATTGTTATGTTTTTATATTCCCTGTCACATGGAAAGAAAGTAAATGTGTAAAAACGTAACTGTCTTTCAGCTCAACTTAAAACGAATCTACATGACACATACATATCAGCTACCATCATAGATCAGTCTGAAATGAAAATGAACTTTGACATGCAGACTGGAGCAGCCAGTCGTAGATAACTTCCTGTGTATCCACCTTTTCTCAAGCAGCCAAACACTTGACCACCTTTTGTAGTGTAGAATTTAGTATAATTGTAATTTTATACTCTCACTGTAAGTGTCATTAAAGTGTGAGATTGCATGCATATCTGAATTCTTATGGTCAGCCCACCTGAGATCAAGGTGGCAGTCATGTCTCACCCAGCGCTCCCACAGCCTGCTGTGACTCCAGACACACGTGTGGTTGTTCTGATTGTGGTTGTGTTGACTGCAATGCTGAGATGACACTTGGGTCTCTGCTACTGTATGTAACGCTGTTGAGTAATAGCACATATTATGATAAAAGCTTTGCCATTTGAAATCCCATGTGGTTTCATATCATATCAGACATATTCATATCAGCCCAGATTCAAACACAACCGTAGATGGAGCAGTAATCTCTGCTGCCACAGTGCCACCTTCACATTCGAGTAACTGACAGCAAATTTATTTACGTGTTAAGCATCACATCATCTTGCCTTTCTGCTGTATCTGCAAAGAGCTTCCCTAAACCCATATAGTTCCTGGACTGGACAAAAAAAAATCCCACAACCACCTTTGGAGAGAACATTTAATCCGAGTTAAATCCAGATGTATTGTTCAAAAACAATGTTTCCACCTTAATCCTTCAGGAGCTGCAATAATTAACTTATCAGACAAGAGTCAGGCTTGTTATCCACCAACACGAACAGCCTTTTTTTATACATCAAGGTAGACATACACCCTCCAGTATTTCTGGCACCTCATTTTGATGTTTTTATTCCTATTTTTTCATCCATTCACATAAACTGTATGATTGAATAGCAGTGGGGATTACTCTTGTTTTAAAAGTTTAGCTGCTGCTAACCAGAGCGCCCCAGCGCTTCCTGTCTCATGTGTCGGTGTTCTAGTCAGTGTGGTAGTTATCATTATCATTCAGCGTCTTCTCCAGCTGCACAGAGCAGACCTTATACTTATGCTTATACTTCCAGAGAACACCTTGTATCTCATTTATTTATTTTTAAAAGTATTTATTGAAGTTAGAGTCACATTTTTACAGAAAAATACATATATTGCACGAGTGCATGCAATATATGTATGCACTCATGCAATATATGGGGGGTGGAAGTGCCCTTGTTTTCAGTATCTTGATAGTTTTTTGCTATCAGGAAAATACTTGTGCCACTAGACAGATCCCGTGAAACAGAGAGGTGCTGGCATCGGAAAACTACTTTTTACAGGATTTACTTTTGAAATAATATCTTTACATGTGTCCTGTATCATTATGCATTTCATGTAACCCACGAGAGCCTGTAACTGTGCATGCGAGTCATTTGCTCAGTTGGAAAGCTGATTTCTGATAACCTGTAATTTTATTCATATATTGGATATAATGTGGATACTTAGGTTTGTATGATTTAACTTAACTTACTACTTATCTTAATTTACTTTAACTGATTCTTGAAAATTCAGTTTTCTTATTATATGTAAATACCAAAAATCTTACATGCTAAAGGACTTAAAAGTTACAGCCCCTCCAGTAAACGGTATGCTAGCAGTAACATTTATTTTTCCTACTTTAATCGTTTATTTTTTACTTAAAAACACAACAAAGAGTACAAATGTATTTCATTGTATTTTCTGGATTGATGAGATACCTGAACTACCTGATCTATCTGAACCAATGCAAAGGAGGCTGGAGATCAAGTTATGGCCTTGGCTTGCACTGGTGCCTCTACAGCTCGCTCTCTTTTATTGACGATGATCACTCGGCAGTCCCGGAGTCAGAACGCAATCTTAAAAACACACATCACAGACAGTCAAGGTGAGGAGAATGATCTGCTGTCTATTCTTCATTGATCCCGTAAGTGTGCGTAGAAAAGAATGCATTTCCATGATCAGCACTGCATTGCTTTTCTGTTCTCACAAAAGAAAATCAGCCAGTGTTCAACAGTTGAATAAAACCGAGCATCGCTGGCTTTGTGCTCCTGAGCTGTGAGACGTTTGAGTGACAGCTGCACAGAAAAAATTCGCCCGGCGTGTTGGCATTCTCGCTCTGTCTGTCACCCCACTGTTGCCACAAACAGACCTCTATCACTGCGCTGATAGGCCATTATCTCGCGTTAGTCACTCTGGATGCATGATCACTATAAAAGCTGTTTGTGTGAATTTTGTTCAGTTTTTCGACAAATAAAATGTTACTGAAAACAATGTAAAGGACATCACACTTTATGTCACTTGTTTTACATGTCTGCATTCCTCTGTAATCACACTTTCAGTGCTCTTTGGCAGTGATGTTACTATGCTGCCCTGTTAAGGATCTCATGTAGTTCAGATATTTAGATTTTAAAGGTTTAACAAGTCAGTTAAGATGAAATAAATATAACACGAAAAAGAACGACTGAGCTCTGAAAATAGGAATATGGCAGCTGCCTGCACCGGCAAAACACTGCCCTGCTGTGCTAACATTAGCATTATCAGGGATCCTTTCTTCCTGAAACACTATCTTTATGGTCACAGGGTGGGTGGGGATATGTCAGCTGAGGCACGGTGCACACTGGACAGGCTGCAAGTCCACCACATGAGGCAGCCAGAGTCAGTCACACCCCATTAAATATGATGTTTCATGTCATGGCAGAAATCTGTGCACAAAAAAAAATATTGCATTTATATTTATTAGCATGTTTACCCAACATGTTGCATGATAGACAATCTCTGTTATTGAGGTCTGTGTTGAGGCTGTGATTGCTAGAGTGAGGTAAATCACATTTACACAAGGTTCATCAGCTGAAGATTGTCTAAATTCTTTAAAATGACTTATTATTGTCTAAAATCCAGTATGACTAACAGAAGTTCTAACAACTCACAAAAATATTTGGCATATGCACTCTACATTTCACCAAAATTCAAAATAATTATGGTCGTGGTTAATCACTACTGGTAGAAACCTTCATATGTGACGTTCTGAGTATTTGTATAAAGAACAATTCAGTTTGTGTGTGAGAGTGTGTGTGTGTGTGCTTTTTGTTGTGCTGTCACTCTACAGGAGCTTCTCTGCAGGAGTGACTGCATGCCCGAGAGTCTTCATAAAAGATGCAATATTTGTAGCCAGCTGTGCACTGCAATACCTTCACTCAGAGTTCTTTATTTAGAGAGAATCTCACAGATTTCACGCCGTGAGATCTCTCACTTTTCCTTCGCTCTCTAGTACAAATAAGTGACTACTCAAAAAGTTTAAGTGCTGAAAACATTGTGTCTGTGTTTGTGGCTCAATTTACCGCTGTATTCATTCATTGCCTGTTTGCCTTATGTGTGGATGGCAGCATACAAAAATAACACCAGGACACCAGCTGTGATGAAGGGAACACTGGAAGAGAATATGTCAGAATCTGAGAGTAAGTCATATATGTAAATAAATTCAGTCGATCAATTAATGGTCACCACATCTGAGAGTATTATTATTGCACTGCCAAGAATCTAAATTAACATTTTCATCAGAATAGCTCATAGCATGATGCTGCCGCCGCCGTGCTTCACCGTATATTTCTCCTGATGAGTTTCTTTTTTCTTCATGTCTCGACAAACAGCTGTCTGATCTGACTGCACTGCTGAGAAGTGCAGTTTCACCATAAAGGGTGCTAAATGTGTTTTCTATAATGCTTTCACACAGCATGTTTGCAGTGAAGTCCACAATCATCATCAGAGGGTGATGACAGCAGCATGTTATGGGTGTTTATAGGCCAGAGTTTGATAGCGTTTGCTTTATAGTGTAAGTAAAGTCTTCACTGCCAGTAGATTTCCATGCACACAGCATG